TTCTTTTTGTCGTTGAATATCTTGTTTTCTCTGTCTATGAGGGCTGAGAGTTTTGCTGGGTATAGTAGCCTAGGCTGACATCTGTATTCTCTTAGGTTCTGCATGATATCTGTTCAGGCTCTTCTGGCTTTCATAGTTTCTGTTGAGAAGTCAGGTGTGATTCTGATGGGTTTGCCATTATATGTTACTTGGCAGCTTTTAGTATTTTTTCTTTGTTCTGTATTCTTACTGTTTTGATTATTATGTGATGGGAAAATTTTCTTTTCTGGTCTAATTTATTAGGTGTTCTGCAGGCCTTTTGTATTCTTATAGGCCTCCCCTTTAAGTTGGGGAAATTTTCTACAATGATTTTGTTGAAAATATTTTCTGGGCCTTGGAGGAGGGAATCTCTTTTTCCCTCTATTCCTATTATTCTTAGGTTTTGTCTTTTTATGTTGTCTTGGATTTCTTGGATGGTTTATGTCAGGAATTTTTTAGATTTATTATTTTCTTTGACGGATACATCGATTTCTTCCATTGTATTTTCCACACCTGTGATTCTTTCTCCCATTTCTTGTAGTTTGTTGGTTATGCTTACCTCTGTAGTTCCTGTTTTCTTTCCTAGGTTCTCCCTCTCCATGATTTCCTCCATTTGTGTTTTCTTTAATTCTTCCAATTCTATCTTCAGATCTTGAACCGTTTTGTTGATTTCCTTCACCTGTCTGATTGCATTTTCCTGTTTTTCCTTCAATTCCTTCAGCTGTTTGTTTGAATGTTTCTGTTTCTTTTATTTCTTTCAGTGACACAAACTGGCTGCCTCTTCCTGTATTTCTTTACAGATGACCATAATCTGTTTTATTATATCTTCACCTAATTCTTTATGCATTTTATTTACTTCCTCCATTAACCTCTTCATAAGCATAGATGTAAGATCATCTTCTTGAATTTCACTTATGTTAGGGTGTCCAGGGCTACTTGCCCCTGGATAAGTGGGTTCTGGGGATGCCATATTGCTTTGACTTTTGTTGGTTGTGCTTTTTCGCTGGTCTCTACCCATCTCTCTGTCTCAGGTGTTATCTGTTAATTTTTGGTGCCTGCTGAGTCCTGGTGCTGGGAGAATCTACTTGGCGGGGTTCTGAAGTTCTCCTCTGCTTTTTGGGTATGGTCAACTGAATAGTGGTGCTTCTCAGGAATTGTTCCAGTTCACTTCAGGTGTATGGACCTGTATGGTAACTATGATGTTCAGGAAGGCTCTCCTCTCATCAGGAGAGGTCCTGGTGATGGCTGCCCTGCTGCTGGGTTTCTTCCTCTGAATTTAGTGAGCAGCAGCTGTTGCTCTTAAGGTGTAATTTTTGGGCGCAGCCCTCTTGAAGAACCAGGGATTCCCACAGTTTTGTCACTCTAGCTAGGGATAACTGGTTGATCCTTGGCGCAGTATCTGAGGGCTGCTGCAATGGCTCTCTGGCTTTTGTAGGTCTGAGGATGCAGCTGTGTGCCCAAGTGCCCTGTAGGTACTCAATAATGGCCGGTGAGCACAGCGCTCCTGCCTGCAGTAGAAGGCTAGAGCCTAGAGTCTGCGTGAATCCAGAAAGTTTTTTAGTGCTGTGTGTCCTGAGCATTGGACCTGATCATCCCCCCTGCTGTGGAGTTTTCTCCTGACAGGGACACCCAGTCTTTGCTTTGGGGACCGCGGTTCTGTCTGGGATGGCAAGTAGAACCTGCAGGCACAGACTTATGTGGCTCTGCCTTTCTGCCTTTCTGTGGATTGGGTGCCTGGGTATCTGCCAAAACTGGGTCACTTTTCCCGAGACCTTTTCGGGGTGGTGGTATCAGCTGAATGCTCTGAGATCAGACCAGCTGTTCCCCTCCCTGTGGGTTTGCACCCAACAGAGAAACTCAATCTCTGATCCCCTGGGGCCCACAGTTCTATCTGGGACAGCGAATCAGGCACACAGGCAGAGTTCTGTGTTGGTGCTTGGGTCCCCAGCTCTGGCTCTGGGCTAGCTGCTGGGCACCTGCGGAACCCGAGTCTTTTCCAGGGGATATCTGGGTGACCTAAGATCGGTCCCAATTGTTTCCTGTACCATGGGGTTATCTCTCGACTGGAAATATCAGTCTCTGATGTTGTGGTGCCCACAGTTCAGTCTGGGACAATGATCAGAGCAAGCTGGTGTGTGGCTCTGGGCTGGCGACCAAGCGTCTGGCAGAACCGGGTTCTCTTCCAGGTGAGTTAAAGCTGATTGAATCCCCCACCGTGGGGTATCCTCTCACCTGGGAAACAGTCACTTGTGTTTTATGGCCGCGAGTTCTGAAAGCTGGTCACTGTGCTGATCCTGCCATGCTGATGCTCAGAATGAGAGTCCTCCCGGCACCACCATCTTGCCCTGCCTATTGATATCTTTTATAACCCATTAAATGCTGTTTATGTGCACATGTGTGTGAGGTCATCTACAGGAACATGAACAACTTACCAGAACCACATCCCTAAAGTGAACCAATTGTTCTTTTCTAGGATCCATAATTGGCTCTTCAGCTAGAGTTGGGACCTGATATGACCCTTCCTTCAGATTTGTTGGATTATTGACTGGCTTTATTTCATGCAGATATTCGACAAATAAACACAGAGGATGCGGGTTCATGAGTGCAGCATCTCTGCCATGTTCAAAAGACAGCTTTGCCCTAGGCCTTCTTGACATTCAGTTCTTACAATCTTTCTGTTCCCTCCTTCATGAATTTTTCTGCGCTTTTAGGGAAGGAAAATGATATTGATGTCACATTTATGGCTGAGAAGTCCATCAACTCTTGTTCTATGAACTTTAACCAGTTGTGAGTCTTTTTATTAACTCATTTCTATTACACAAAGATACACTAAGACTTTTCAGTTTTCATTTATTGGAAAATTTATTTATTTATTTATTCTTTTATTCTTGAAAATGGTTGCATTCAATACACCTGATCCCTCTCCATCTTGAAGCTCTCTCCAATCTGGGTTGGAGATACTGGTGATACTACAGAGGACTTTACCAAGTGTGGTCATTGAGCATACAAAGGTTTATTGGCCTTTTTATTCTTCAGAGACAATGGTATCTTTTAAACGGTTGTTACGGATTTGGTAGTCCAGAGAACTTACTGGTCTAAATAAGCTAAATAGCTAAATGAACCTCCTATTCTCTTTTCATCTTATCACTCTGACTTAGTTTCTTTTGATGGTTTCTATCTTTTGTTTACCAGTTTTTTTTTTCACTCCTTTAATATCTTTCGCCCCACATTATGCTCCATGGTGCATACAAATACTCCCATGTCATTTCCTGAGTCCCTTTAATTGTTGTTTTTTTTAATCTGCTACTGATTAATTGCATACACACATATGTTTATCACATATATATATATGTATATACATATACATATTTCACACAAACCATTTTGTGGTGTTTACCCAGTTCAAAATGATGCCATCAGTATTCAGGGAGACAGGGGCAGGCAGATCTATGTGATTTTGAGTCCAGCCTGATCTGTAAAGCAAGTCCAGGACAGCCAAGAGAAACTGTGTCAAAAATCCAAATCAAAAACAAAAACAAAACAGAAAACAAACAAAAAACTACAAAATCCAAAACGAAGCCTTCTAAATTGATTGTCTCTAAATTATTTTTCTATTTTTATGTCTTCTTTTTGTTATTTTTGTAGTTACTTTAGGACTGTTGACAAAAACTGGGTAGGAAAATGGAACTAACTCTTCTTCCTTACAAATCCTTCATGCTCGCATCAGTCCTGCTTTCTTTCACTTTTCTGCCTTTAACTCTATTTCTTCAGGTTCAGCTTTCAGAACTGTCACTGCCTCCCACTGCTTTTTCTCTTCACCTCCACCAGCTTTGAGAAAGAGGCATAAAAGGCAAGGTTTCTATATGTCCTGAACTGTCACCGTGGCAAGTCAGGAAGGAAAATGAGGGACTCATCCATTGGGCAGCAGGAGTCACTGCCCTTGGGCACCACCACAGGGCCATATTGTTCATATAACTACCTGCTGTCCTCTTGAACTCTCATACTCCTCCTCACTGCTAGAACACACTTGGATGTTTTGTCCATTGATGACCTCTGAGCATATAGAGTCCAATTTTCCGTTTCTCAGAAACATTATTTTGGAAAAAAAAACTTAATATAAACATAAAATAAGATATTTCATGAGATATAATTTACTCAATATAATTTACTGAGTAAATTATATATACTGAGATATATTTACTCAAATAATTTATTCAAAATATTGGTACTGTGGCTCTAGTCTTATAAGGCAGCCTAAAGAACAATTCCACAGTCGTTTAATCACTCCCTATTACTTAAACAACCCATTGGGGTTAATAACACAAATATTACATTTTAAATTTTTATATTTTACCCCAAATTGTCTGCATACTCCACGATTCTAAACTCCTCTACTTGCCCTCTGCATGGCATAAGCTGATAGCTCCAGTGTCTTGATGTTTATTGGGAGATGGCAACTCATGCTTCCCTTTCTCTTTTTATTATATGACACAATTTTTAAATTCAAATATATTTTTGTCATATTTCCCTTACCCCAAGTCTTTTCTGATTCCCTCCTCCCCTCACCCATACAGCTTTAAGTTTTCTCAAAAACAATAAACAAAAAAAACAACCAAACCAAAACCCAATGCAATAAAAAGATCCCCTAAAACCAAGAAAACAAAATAAAAGAACACCCAAACAGAAAACACACACACACACACACACACAAAGAGAGAGAGAGAGAGAATACTAACTATATAAACTCAAAACCTGTGGAGTTCATTATAGGTTCATCAACTACTCCTGAACATGAGGCCTTATCTGAAGTGGTTGATACACTCAGTTTCACTCCACTGGCCAAGAAAACTGATTTCCTCTCTCCTAGCAGATATAAATGACAGTTTAGTTGTTAACCTTTACCCTAGTAGGTTGATTTTCATTTATTATTCCTTCATTTTTTTTAACTATAAGAAAATAAAATACATTAAAAACACTAAACTGGCCCCCGTTAGAGGGTAAAGAGACACCTTGTTGGTGCTGTTGATCTTGTATCAGTCAGGAGCAGAGCAGTTGGTAGTCCTTTGTTCATCCGAGGTTGATGCCTGGCTTGGTGGCTAAAGTGGACTTATGCCTAGGACTCACAAAAATCCAATCAAATCCAGACAGTACAGTGCAGGAGGAAGAAGACAGCCAGAGACCTGTGGACTGCTATGCCATCACCTCCCTGACCTTTAATGCATGGCACAGGTGGGCCATAGATACCTGGTTGCAGCCATGTCGTGCAGCATGGATGGAGGGTGTCAACCAGGGTTCTACCAGCCATGAGGCCAGCCTGCAGCGGGAGCTAGCCCAGTGTGTGCATATGGCATGTGGTGGTCAGGTGGAGGGAGAACTTGAGCAGCTTCAGCACTATAAAGAGATGAAGCTGCAGACCAGAGGATGGAGAGGAGTAGCCTGTTGTGAGCGGCTAGCCCCACCACCTGGGGCTGTGATGAGGTCCCAGCCTGAGCTGCCATGTAGGACCATGTCTGAGACCTTGGTTGTGCAGTAACAGGGGTCTGTGTCAATGTTTGTGGCTCATATTACGGCTAGAGAACATGGGGATATCCCTGGTTAGGGCAGTCTCCAGGTACCATGTGAATGTCCAGGGGCTGTGCATAACTGGCTCCACCCCTCACAGGATACTGTGCTCTGGAGAGTTGGCCCCATCTCTCATATGCAGCAGCTCTCAGCAGGCCCTGAGACTTGCCCAGACAGCACAATAGAGCTGGTCCTGGTGGAGGGAAAATGGGTGAACCAGCCCCCAGGGCCTGCGTGTGGGAGAGTGGACCCTGTCACTCATTTGCTGTGCATAGCACAGGTGCAGAGGTGATGCTCCCCCACAGACCCCTCACCACCTCCTGCAGTAGGAGAAGCTGCCCACAGGGTCATGTGCTCAGGAGAGCTAACCCTTCCCCTCACCAGCTGCAGCACTCAGGAGAGTGGGCCGTGCACCACACCTGGACAGCACAACAGAGCTGACCCTGGTGCTGGAGGCACAGGTGAGCCAGCCCTCAGAACAAGAGCACAGAAGAGCTGACCCTGCCACTTGTCTTTCTGCCATGAGGTGGCCTGGCCAGTAAAAGGTGCCTTCTGCCCCCTCACCCTTCACCGTCTGAGCCATCCAGGACAGCTGACCTCAGGGTTGGAAGAGTAGGTGAGCAGGCCCTGGGCCTCACCTGGTATCATGGTAATTCTGGCATTGGTCTAGGGGGCACAGGTAAGCCAGGCCCAAGTGGGAGAGCAGGGAAGAGCTGGCCCCTCTACTCCTCTGCCCTGAGGTAGTGTGGGGGTGGGAGTGATACCCTCCTCGGTGCTCCTTGCCACCCACAACAGTCAGGAGAACTGGCCCAAGGGTCATAAGAGTGGGTGACCTGGCCCTGCCCCTAATCAGCTGCAGATCTGAGGAGAGCACAGTGCAGCTGGCCCTAATGGAGGTGGCACAGGTGAGCTGACCTTGAGGATAAGAGAATGGGGGAGCTAGCCCAGCCACTTCTCTGCCGTGAGATGGCATGGGTCTGCATAATGCCCTCCTCCTTCATCACCACCTGCAGTAGCTGGGAGAGCTGTTCCTGGGGTCATAGGAGCAGGAGACCTAGTCCTGCTTCCCCACTGGCTGCAGCACTCAGGAGAACAGGTCCTGTACCTCAACTGGGCAACACAGTGGAGCTGACCCTGACGGTGAAAGCATGGGTGAACCAGCCCTAATACTGAGAGTGGAAGAGCTGGCCCAGCCCCTCACAGGCTATAGCACTTGAGAGAGTGGGCCCTGAATCTTGACTGGGCACAACATTGGAGCTAGCTCTGGAGGCATGAGTGTGGATGAGCTGGTCCTGAGGATATGAGATGATGGCAATATTTGCTGGAGAGCATACCCAGGTGGTGTGGACAAGGAGAGCCAGTAGGCTGACCAGCTCAGCTACCACCCAGGTCCTGATCAAGGAATCTGAATTGGTCCACCCTCAAAATCTATATCATCTTCCTGTCAGTGGTTTCCATGTGTGAAAGGACCAGTCCCGCTGTTCCAAAACAGGGCAACAAAAAGATAACCGGGAGGAGTCCCGATGAGGATCCAATATTGTTGGTATCACAGAAGCCAGAGATGTCAAACCAGACCAATGACTCATTACAATGAGCATTGACAAGTGAAGAAGCATGAGCACAGGGATATACTATGGACAAACTGACATACTACAGCTTCCACAATGAGATGTTTTCTATGCTTGGTGGTGTTGGTGGTGGTGGTGGTGGTGGTGGTGGTGGTGGTGGTGGTGGTGGTAGTGATGGTGGTGGTGGTGGTGGTGGTGATGGTGGTAGTGATGGTGGTGGTGGTGGTGATGGTGGTCATGGTGGTGGTGGTAATGGTGATGGTGTGTATGTGTTTTATTTGGGAGGGGAGGCTACAAGGGAGAACAGTGGCTAAGAAGAATGGAGAGATGAGGGGACAGGGTTGCATGACATGAAACTCACAAAGAATCAATAGAACATTAAAAAAAAACCCTGCTAGACTGGAAGCTATAATCTAAACCTAAAGGACCTGATGCAGACCAGTGTAGGTCCTGTTCATGCTGCTTTAGTCTCTGTGAGGGCATATGAGCTTTGTTTATGATGATTTAGAGGGCCTTGTTTCCTTGGTGTCTTCCATCCTCCATCTCCTCAGGTTCTTACACTCTTTCCACCTCCTCTTCCATGGGGTTCTCTGAGCTCTGAGTGGAGGGATTTAATGGAGACATTCATTTAGGGCTGAGTGCTCCAAGCTCTCTCCCTCTCTGTGTAATGTCTGGATGTGAGACCTTATATTTGTTCCCCTCTGTAGAAAGAAGCTTCTCTGATGATGGCTATGTAAGGCACTGATCTATGAATATGGCAGAGTATGTTTAGGAGTCATTTTATCACTATATTTTATTTATTTATTATTTTTTTAGGCCAGTAGTATTTGACTTTACCTTATGTTGCTGGGCTATCTAATTTCAGGTGGGGCTGGCTCTGGAGGCATGAGTGTGGGCGAACTGGTCCTAAGAGTATGAGAGCAGGAGAGCTGACCGTGCCTCCTGGTGGCGGTATTGGGTAGCCTACGTGGTATGTGCCTAAGTGGTGTCAGATATTGGTCTCAACTTATCAAGTGATCCTTAAGTCAAATCAGTTATTGATCAGTTACTAAGCTTTGTGACACAATTGCCCTACCATGTCTTGTGGTAGTACACCATTGTAGATAAAGGGTTTGGGAGAAGAGGAGAGGAGAGAAAATAGAGAATAAGAAACCTATCCATAGTGAATAGCCATCAGCTTCTTGTCTAGTTGTCATTATTCAAATGTTGTTTTGTGGGTGTCCCTATTTAGGTTCTTCGTCTCCATCTCCATCTTGTCTATCTTCACGTCCCTAAGAATGATCTCCTTATCCAAGACTCCATCATTTCACTAACCTCTCACTGTAAAAAGAAAAAAAAAAAACTTCCTTTTGCACATTTTTGTCCTTACATAGTACTCAGTGTACTGCTATGCACATAGCAGCTGCTTAACAAGTGTTTTTAGAAAGCTGCAGTATTATTGTGACCGAATGTATGTTTATGAAGTTCTTCTTTTATTAGCAAGACAACAGCTAGTGAGACAACGTGGAAAGCTCGCACACATTTTTGAAGAGCATGATGAAATGTTGGATTGCCAAGGAAGACTCGCTCAACACAGGCCATCCTTATACAGTGGGCTACATTGAGCACAGAGCCTCTGAACAGTGACTATCCCTCCACGGTTTACTGCAGCGGAAAACTTTGGCATTAATCTGACTTAGAAATGTTTGGCATATTTTCCTCTTCTGGATTTTTGTGTATTTTCCCTTGTCTTCCTCTCCTACCAAACACTATGAGTGGTCAATCTATGTATGTATTGTTGGCTTTATTTATTCAGCATTTAACTTATAAGTTCAGTTCTTTGGTTGAAACACAAACAATAATGTCTGATGGTGGGTTCTGCACAGTTTAGGAATTTTCTTATTGAAGTATTTCCTTAGTATGCTTTCACAAGATGCAAAAATTAAAAAAAAAATCTTATGCAGAGTATTATGGCAGAAACAACTGCATTTGAATCAAACAGTGAAAACAAATTTTCTTTTTATTTGTGAAAGGACTTAATTCCTCAAGTGTCTATCCATCTCTTCAGCTTGCTAGACATTGCTCATAATCTAATAAATGCCATCTAAATCTTTCCCAAGTGAGAACTCACCTTGACCCTGAATCCTCCAACCCCTCAAGCCAGCTTGAAATCTTCTCTGATGCTATCTGTAAGAGTGCCTTCTTCTTTCTCCCTTCCTGTTCTCCGTAGCCCACTTCAGCTTGAGCTCCACACGTACCACTCCACAGAGATTGCCACCATTGTTTCCCAGAGAATTCCACATTGCCAGACAGTGTTAATAAACTTCTCAGCTTACTTCACCTTCAGCAAGATTCAGAAATGAGCCGTTTCTCTGGAAGTGTGCTTTCTTCCCAGCTCTATTGAGGACTGTCTTATCTTATGAGCTGTTTCTTTTAGGGTCTTTTCTGGACTCCACCCTTAAGATGTTGGCATTTCTTAGGGCTTTCTCCTGGGATTTGCTCTGTTCTTTACTCTTTCTCGTATTTTATACTTTAGCCAACTTCATCTTGTTAAATCACTTCTTATACATGCCAGCCATTTAAATTTACATTTCTTGCACAAACATTTATTCTTAAGCTATCTATTTATCATTAACACTGTATAAAAAAGATGCGACAGCACAACATCTGTTAAATTGGAACCCTTTTTTTTCCTTCTTAAAATGATGCTTTCGTAAGCTATAGTCCTTCCCCAGCCTTCAAGAATAAGTGATATCACAATTCAGAGTTATTAAAGGAAGAAAATGAGGAACTATCTTTTATGCTCTCTTTATCTTCCAATCTTCCAGTAAATCCTCTTAATGCTCACCTTGGACCCATGAACCCTTTACTACTATCTCTCTAGGACAACTTAATATTATATTTTACTGTCAATTAAATCATATTTTAAGAATCTCTTAAGACACTGAAAATCTATAACACAGATGACTGCAGATATATCTGTGTGTATATCTACCTCAATATTTATGCATCTAAAT